AGGCCGGCGGCGGGGCCGAGAAGGAGGCCGGCGCGGGGCCGCGTAAGGGGCCGAGTAGGAGCCGGCGGCCCAGGGCCGCGTAAGGGGCCGGCTCGGAGCCGCGTAAGAGGCCGGCGCGGGGCCGCGTAGGAGCCGGCGGCGCAGGGCCGCGTAAGGGGCCAGCGCGGGGCCGCGTAAGGGGAGAGGGCGACCCGAAGGGTCGCTAAAACAAAAAGGGCGCGCCTCGGGGGGCGCGCTTCGGTGGGCCCAAAAAAAATTCGGTCCTGGAGGGACCTAGCTCTATACCATGTGAAACTATGAGCAGAGGAATGAATTGACTAAGTCAGAGTTGGGTACAAATACAACCCTAGCAAACTGTACCCCATATGTGCTACCCCACTATAGCCTACAAACATGCATCAGCTATAATAATCTGACACTATTCACCCACAGATATCGCACCGACCCATTTTTCACGGCCGGAAGTTCACAGCAACTGGCAGAAGCCAAGGGAGTCTATTACGTAAAAACGGGCACCAACCGCATTTGGGTACCCGCGTACTCGCTACTGAGGGAATTGTTACTGTAGGAGGCACACGACGGGGTTACTTTGGGTCACTTCGAGGTAGAAAAAACGCGACAGCAAGTGCAGCAGTATTTCTACTGGCCGGAACTGTTGACCGACGTACAACACCACGGGGGGTCGTGTCCTACGTGTCAGGTGATGAAGAGCTCGCGAAAAATAAAGGCGGGTCAGTTGCACCCGATTCCACCGCCCGAGCGTGCCTAGCAGCAGGTTACCATGGATTTCGTCACAGGGTTACCTTCAAACCCTGGGGGTAACGACGTGGTAATGGTCGTCGTTGACAGACTGACGAAAATTGCTCACTTCGCTGCGTGCAAGAAATCGATCTTAGCCAAAAAAACCGCTCGCCTATTCATCGCAACTGTCGTTCGATTGCACGGGATACCAGCCGCAATCATCAGCGACTGTGACACGAAGTTTACCAGCAACTTCTGGAAGAACCTCTGGGAGGAGTTCGGGACCAGGCTACAGTTCAGCTCGTCGTACCAACCCGAGACCGACGGTCGAACGGAGCGGACGAATCAGACGATGGAGCAGTTGATTCGTGCCACATGCGACGACCCAACAACTGTTAGAATGAGAGAAGTAGAAAGTAAGAATGAAGAAAGGAGGGGGTTTCACTAGCAGCAGTTGGGATACATATAGCAAACCCTAGCAGGGTTGTACTCGCTATAGAGCACCCCACTACAGGCTAGATAATAACATTCTGACACACCCCCATAGCCAAAGTGGGGTGTAATCAGCACAATGAGCAAGCATAGCAGTAGTTCACAATTATGAGCAAAGCTAGTGGTAGTCACAGCAGGCAAGTGAGGAGGAGGAGGGACTCTGAGAGGAGAGAAGATGGGAGACGACGGCTGAAGCTGCAGACACACGGGCAACAGGAGCGGCTGGCACAGTGGCTACCGGGACAGCGCCCCGGACTACTGGAGTAACTGGCTCACGGACTACGAGGAGCTACAGGAGCAACGGACCCACGGGCAACAGGCGCAGCAGGCTCTCTGGGCTACCAGGACAGCGCCCCGGACTACAGGTGCTGCGGACGACAAGACGGCAGCCTCCTCTCAGCCTCCCCAAATAGTCCCACCCCCCCTGACACACACCCCCTGCTTCACCCCTAGCTCCACTCCCCCTTCACCCCTTAGTACCACTCCGACGGCTCCAACAGATCCACCCCCCTCAGTGTCAGAATATTATCTTATTGTTCTAGCCTGTAGTGGGGTGCTCTATAGCGAGTACAACCCTTCTAGGGTTTGCTATTTGTATCCTCATTCTTGCTAGTTCAATCCTCTTTCTTTCTTCTTATTTTGACACTCAGCAGCAGCTACAGCACTGGGAGATGGAGGAGGAGGAGCAGGGGACGGCACACAGAAACTGCACCCCCATACCTGCCACCCCCACACTCCTCACCCCCAAACCCTAAAACGGGTTGCAAGGGGTAGGAGCGCAGGGGACGGCGGGGGGGACGGCGCGCAGGGCGCCACCACGGGGCAGCAGGGGGCCGCGCTCGGCTCCTCAGGGCGGTGCGACGGGGCAGCGGGGGGTCGCGCGCGGCTCCTCAGGGCAGCGCGACGGGGAATCGGGGGCCGCGCGCGGCTCCCCTGAGCGTCGCGACGTGACGACGCGAACAGAGGGGGGGACGCGCGGCCCCCGTGGCGCCACGACGGGCGACAGAAGGAGGGGGACGCGCGGCCCCCTAGGCGCCTCGACGGGCGACGGGTTGGGGGGGACGCGCGGCCCCCGCGACGCCATGACGGGCGACGGGAGAGGGCGCCTCGAGCGGCGACGGGATGGCGAAGGGGGCGCGCGCGGATCCACCGTGTAGAAAACCGCCGCGCGCCTCGGGGCGCACGGCGGGCAGAAAACCGCCGCGCGCCCCGAGCGCACGGCAGGAAGAAGACGGCGCGCGCCCGAGGCGCGCGAGAAGCAAAACAGCAGCGGAAGCAGTTAGGTGGTGGGCCCACCCACAGGATCGACCCAAGGGGGTCGACCTGCTCTGATAGCATGTTAGAATGAGAGAAGTAGAAAGTAAGAATGAAGAAAGGAGGGGGTTTCAGTAGCAACAGTTGGGATACATATAGCAAACCCTAACAAGGTTGTACTCACTATTGAGTGCCCCACTGCAGGCTACACAAACAACATATTCTGACAACAACATGGGAGCAGCAGCTGCCACTGACCGAGTTCGCGTACAACAACGCCACGTCAGCGACAACGCAGCAGTCCCCGTTTTACCTGAACTACGGGCAAAACCCAACAGTGCCCATGACGCCGAGCCCGGACAACCCAACGCCACGCGCACAACAATTCACCGAGATTCTGCAAGCTGCCCACACCAGAGTCGTAGAAGCAATTAAAAAGGCCAACGTCATCGCAAAACGAAAAGGTGACCGCCACCGCCGCCAAGTCACGTACCAGTCAGGAGATTACGTACTGCTCAACACAAAGAACTTAAGACTGTGCGTCGTACCGAAATTACGACCCCACTACTGTGGACCATTCCAAATCAGCCACATGATCACCCCAGTTACTGCCCATTTACTGTTACCGACGGACTGGTACATCAGCCCATCATTCCACGTCAGCCTGCTTCGCCCTTACATCCCAACCATGAGCCAACTGCCTCGTCACCGCTCGCCATCCATGACTCGCCCTGCATCGGAGCCGATCATTGAGCCTGAGAAGATTCTGAGCCATCGGATTCGACACTCCACAGACATCAAGAGGATCGAGTTCCTCGTTCGCTTGGAAGACTGCACGCCAACTGAGGATAGCGGGGTGCCCCTGGCCAACATCGAAAACCACCCTGCCCTACAAGTATACCTGAGGAGCCGGGGTTTCCGCGATATACACACACTCGCGTAGCGGAGGAGACTTCTTGAGGGGGGGGGTAGTGTAAGGAAATTTCTCGCTATTCCTTACTACGACCATCAACATCGCGTACAGCCGCAACCGTTGTTCGCCCGTTACTGCTAATGGGGCTTCACCAACTTCGCGCACACTGTTTCACCAAACCTCACACTGCTGGAGCAGCCGAGTCGGCCTACGCTTCGGGACTAGCCCGAATCTCGCGCCAGAGTAGCACTAGCTAGCTCGCACGCATCGCGTTACCGTTTGCATGTTTCGTGTAGAAGTATTCGCTCATGCCTTTGCTCATACTTTGTACTCGTTGAAGACTGTAGTGCAATCCTCGCTGCCTCGATTCATTGCACCAGTAACAGTAAAAGTCCAGTGACCATCGCAAGTGTAGATACAAACATTTGGGGAGAACAATTCCACTACTGAAGGAGGTGGCACCACCACGATTCACAAATAGGAGAGACACATAATGAATCTTGACATAGCTACCACAGCAACTGCCTGAAGACAAAATGCTGGAACTAGGTACAGTGAGAAGACAAACGAGGTCATCCCACACAGAAAGCATACAAAATCCACCACTTGCTGCAGCGCTGTTGGCTTGTAATGAAGGGTGGGAGAGTGCTGGGAGGAGCAGGGCGGTGGTGTGACTATAAGCAGTAGTGATGATATGGAGGGCAGGATGTCTTCTACAGGGGCCAAGGATACTGATGCCTGCATGGGATCAAGGCAGGCGGAGGGAAGGGAGGAAAGGAGAGGAGAGGAGAGGAGAGGAGAGGAGAGCAGAGCAGAGCAGAGCAGGGTGTGAGAAGGAGACGTAGGTTGCAACCTCAACAGAGGGTAGGAGGTCTTTTAAAGGGGCCATGGATATCGATGCCTGAATGGGATAAGGGCAGGCGGAGGGAGAAGGAGAGGAGATTTTATAAGTGTGACTGGATATGACTTGTAAATGGCAAAAAGCTGGCAGATCCATGCTTGTGCGAACTTATGCCCATTTGCAGGTGCTTAAAATTGCATGCGCACACCCACACACCCATGGACTTATTCACTAACTCACTCGCACCAATGCATGCACATGTTTGGATGCGTGTGTGAGTGGGGGAAGAGGATGACCTTGGCATGCAGGTAAGGCATGAAGGGAGGCAGGTGGAAGGGGGAAGTGAAAAGCAGGAAGGGAAAAAGGGTGTGCGTATGTGCATATGTGCGTGCAAGCACTAATGTGAGTTCTGACCTTGGCGTGAAGATGAGCAATGAAGGGAGGCAGGTGGAAGAGGGAAGTGACAAGCAGCAGGAGAGCATCGGCCACTAAGAGCCTTGATACCAGTGGGCGAGAAGACCTGTGATTGGCAGAAAACAACAGGCAACGATAGTGGAACGGGAACATGATCCGACCATTGGTCACGATCATAAAGGGAGAACATGCCGATTTTCATGTGACTTATGAGTTGACTCAAAAGTCAACCGGCAGGCGTGGTCATAAAGGGAGAACATGCCGATTGTTAAACACAGAGCACACAAACAGCAAAAAAAAGTCCACCTTCCTTCATCCATCCCACCTTGACTTGGCTTGAGATGCTCATGTAATTTGAGCAGCAGCAGCGAGGAGAAGAGCGAGGAATGGGGAGACGAGGGCGAGTGGAAGGAGCAGAAAGAGGAAGAGGAGAGCAGGCCAATATCCATGTTGCTGGCAGATGAAAATACAGGGATGCCAGGCATTGGAAAAACAACTATTAACAGACTGGGAAAGAATGTGGATTGATATAACTACCAGTCTGATAAATGTTTCAAGCATGGAGTTGAGACGATGCATGAGCGGTCGAGAAAAAAAAAAGATTCCAAGAGTTGTGGGCATGAAACAGGTCATTGTAACATACCGTGCGAGTGAGTGAGCCTTTATTTGTCTGTAGTCCAGAGCGGGAGCCGGCGCAACAGGAGATGGTGCTAAGAGTCACTTTTAGCAAAGCGAGAAGGAAGCAGAGAGCAGTCGATGCAATCACGGCTGCTACAAATAGAGACACGCTTGCTGATGTCAGAGTGGAAAAAATACAGCTCAGCGTGCATCGTACCGATGCAAGGAGAGGTGAATACGATGTGGCATGGTGTGGTTGGTTCTGGAGGAAAGAGTTAAGACTGTGAAGGAATGAGGTGAGTGTGGGAGAGAGTCTTGGAAGGGATGGGAGGGAGAGGAGGAGAGGAGATAGGAGGGAGAAGTATAGAGGGAGAGGGTGAGAGGAGGAGGAGGAGGAGGAGGAGGAGGAAGAGGAGGAGGAGGAGGAGGAGGAGGAGGAGGAGGAGGAGGAGGAGGAGGAGGAGGAGGAGGAGGAGGAGGAGGAGGAGGAGGAAGCAGACTGCGGCTGGACTATGGGAAATGATTCGTGTGTGTGGGGTGATTCTAGGTGGTGTGAGTGAGAGAAGGGGTGCGAGGAGTGGGAGGAGTGAGAGAGGGAGTGTAGGAGAGAGAAGGTGATGAGTGAGGAGAGGAGGGAGCGTGAGACATTGCTAGAGAAAGAGGGCCAAGGAGAGGAGGCGATGAGAGAGAGGAGGGAAGGGAGAGTGTGAAGAGAGGGAGAGGAGTGGGTGAATGAGTGAGAGAAGAGGTAGGAGGAGGTGCAGAGAGCGAGCGAGAGGGCCGAGCCAATGATAAGAGGGAGGGAGGAGAGGAGGGAGGTGAGAGAGCGTGGAAGGTCGACGGAGATGATGAGGGAGGAGGTGCAGGATGGATCCGCTTGGAGGGAGGGTGTGGGGGTGCACAGAAGGAGTGGGAAGTTGAGGCAATGAGGAGGGGCAGGAAGGCAGTGGGAGGTGAGGGAGCGAGGGAGATCAATGGAGATGAGGAGGGAGGAGGGGCAGGAAGGGTCCGCCTGGAGGAAGGGAGGGCAGGAGGAGAAGGGAGTGGGGGTGGGTGGGAGGAGTGGGATGCTGAGACAATGAGGGAGGGGTACACCTGGAGGGAGGGAGTGGGGAGAGTGGGGGGAGTGGGAATTTGAGGCAATGAGGGAGGGAGGGAGGGATTTGAAACGGCTCAGAACTTGGTGAGTGAGGGAGCAGGAATTCTGAGACTGTGAGAGAGGGAGTGGATGAGGGAAAGCAGGCAATGCTGATCATTTCTGATGCAAGATGGCAAGAAAGTGAGGAGAAAGGCAGGCGAGAGTGATTGTGGGCGAGTGCGAGAGTGGGAGAGAAGGGATGTGGGTTTGAACCATGCATGGTTTACCAGCAGCATCAAAACGTGTTCGTCCTCTCTGCCCCAATGCACCACCTCCTCTGAACCACCACTGAAAAGACAGTCACTCGAGGAAAATCCACCCCTTCTTTCAGGAAAGCATGCAATGTTGATCATTTCTGATACAAGATGGCAAGAAAGAGAAAATCCACCCCTTCTTCTGTCAACTCAAACATCCTTACCAGCAGCATCAGAGCGAATTCGTCCGTTTTGCCCCAATGCACTGCCTCCTCTGAACCGTCTCTCAAAGAACCCCCACCGGCATTGCTCTTGGCATGAATTTGGAGGTTCTGAGGCGCCTCACAACGAGAGCTACTGTGTGCCGCTGCACCCCCGCCATCCTGCTCGCTCTTGTGCGAGCGGCAGTGGGAATGGTGGCAATCGCAGCAGTGACAATGAGGGAGATTGTGGTGATCGTGGCAGTGGTGGCAGAAGGGGCGAGTGAGGTGCGGAGGGGGAGAGTCGAGCTCGAGAATCGTGGAGTGGTGGAATGTATGAGTGGAGAGGGTATTATGACTCCCTTCACGGCGTGTGCAGCTACTCTGATCACTAGCACTCGCTGCTGCAGTCTCAGATGTGGCTGGAGCAGCAGGAGAAGCGGTGTGAGCAGATGCCAGGATAGCAACAGCTGGGTGGCAACTGGTGGGACTCGGCTGGGCTCCTGGGGGATGGGGGGAAGGGGGGTGGAATGGGGGAGAGGGGATGGAATCGGGGAGAGGGGATGGAATGGGGGAGAGGTGGGTGGAATGGGGGAGAGTGGGGTGGAATGGGGGAGAGGGGGGTGGAATGGGGGAGAGGGGATGGAATGGGGGAGAGGGGGATGGAATCGGGGAGAGGGGATGGAATGGGGGAGAGGGGGGTGGAATGAGGGAGAGTGGGGTGGAATGGGGGAGAGGGGATGGAATGGGGGAGAGGGGATGGAATGGGGGAGAGGGGATGGAATCGGGGAGAGGGGATGGAATCGGGGAGAGGGGATGGAATCGGGGAGAGGGGATGGAATCGGGGAGAGGGGATGGAATCGGGGAGAGGGGATGGAATCGGGGAGAGGGGATGGAATCGGGGAGTGGGGTGGAATGGGGGAGAGGGGATGGAATCGGGGAGAGGGGATGGAATCGGTGAGAGGGGATGGAATCTGGGAGAGGGGATGGAATCGGGGAGAGGGGATGGAATGGGGGAGAGGGGATGGAATCGGGGAGAGGGGATGGAATCGGGGAGAGGGGATGGAATGGGGGAGAGGGGATGGAATGGGGGAGAGGGGATGGAATCGGGGAGAGGGGATGGAATGGGGGAGAGGGGGATGGAATGGGGGAGAGGGGGATGGAATGGGGAGAGGGGATGGAATGGGGGAGAGGGGATGGAATCGGGGAGAGGGGATGGAATCGGGGAGAGGGGATGGAATCGGGGAGAGGGGACGGGTTTAGAAAAGACTCCCGTCTAAGGGCACCCATCCAGCCGCTAATGATTGGATTCCCATTGGCAGGTTCAAATCTCAAAAATCAATACTGGAGACATCTCAAAAGTGGAGGAACGTACCGGGAGAAAGGCTGGAGGTGGTTTGAGGTTGAGAGGTCAGTAGGCGGAGGTGCAGAGAGAAATGAGCAGCTGCAGGTGGGAGCGAGAAGACCGACAGAAGCTGCTGCTGCCGCTGCTGCTGCTTCTTTGGGTCAAGCAGGATTGAGGACAGTGGCTGCACACAGGTAGTGAAATTAACAGCAGAATGCGTGAGTTTTAAACAGGTAGTGAAATTACTCACCTATCCTGTGAAGACACGTGCTGCATGCCAGGAGAGCATCTGCAGAGAGACAAGGTATGAAGGCGGATGGTCTACCTCAGTGAACACAGGCTTACTCTGAACCTTGGTCTACCTACCAGACGTAGAGGCTGAAAGATCGAGAGGAGCAAGGATAACAGGGAGAGAGACCTTGATGGAGAGGAGGTGGTGGAGGAGGAGGAGGAGGAGGAGGAGGAGGAGGAGGAGGAGGAGGAAGAGGAGGAGGAGGAGGAGGAGGAGGAGGATGAGGAGGAGGAGGAGGAGGAGGAGGAGGAGGAGGAGGAGGAGGAGGAGGAGGAGGAGGAGGAGGAGGAGGAAGAGAAGGAGGGAGTAAGTTGAGCGTGGAGATTGAGTGGTGCCAGCTCCACAGAGAGGAAGTGCAGAGGGGGGCAAGGCTTGCCTTGTGAAACAAGAGAAACATGGATGGAGGAAGGAGAGACGGAAAAAGAGATGGGAGGTTGCGATTGCTCGTTCTTCTTAGGCGCCTCATGGTCGCTCGTTCTTGTGATTGCTCCCAAAGACGTGGAGTGGGGAGGGGGAGAAGGCTTGCGCCGTGAAACAAGAGGGACATGGAGGCGTCTCAAAGTTTGGGTACGCTGGTGTTTACGCTGGGAATTGAACTCCGCACCTTGGTGTTGGTGTTGATATTCACACGCAGTGTGGCCTTTCTCACTCACACGACCACCAACCCCAACTGCTATCTCCAGAGGCAGCATGAGCAGAGCAAGAGGGGACGGCTGTGCATCACATGAGCATCACCTGTGCATCACATGAGCATCACCTGTGCATCACATGAGCATCACCTGTGCATCACATGAGCATCACCTGTGCATCACATGAGCATCACCTGTGCATCACATGAGCATCACCTGTGTATCACATGAGCATCACCTGTGCATCACATGAGCATCACCTGTGCATCACATGAGCATCACCTGTGCATCACATGAGCATCACCTGTGCATCACATGAGCAGCACCTGTGCATCACATGAGCATCACCTGTGCATCACATGAGCATCACCTGTGCATCACATGAGCATTACCTGTGCATCACATGAGAATCACCTGTGCATCACATGAGCATCACCTGTGCATCACATGAGCATCACCTGTGCATCACATGAGCATCACCTGTGCATCACATGAGCATCACCTGTGCATCACATGAGCATCACCTGTGCATCACATGAGCATCACCTGTGCATCGGTTTCTAAAAGAAGTACTTATAGAGAACTCCGCACCTTGGTGTTGGTGTTGATATTCACGCGCAAAGTGGCCTTTCTCACACCACCACCACCCAGCATGAGCAGAGCAAGAGGGGACGGCTGGGGCACCTGTCCTGTGACTTGCTGTGATGCCAGTGATACTGGCAAGGACTGGGAGGGAAATAGGCAAGGAGAGGCGAGGGGAAGCAAGGGGAGCCAAAGGGAGCAAGGGGAGGCGAGGGGATAGGCAGCATGAGCAGAGAAGGAGGGGACGGCTGGGGCACCTGTCCTGTGACCTGCTGTAATGCCGGTGATACTGGGAGAGACTGGGAGGGAGGGAAGGGAGGAAGAGCAGAGTGTCACAAAGCACGTCTTAGAAACTGAAGATTTCACTTAGTGTCTTCTTTTTTTCCCTCTGTATTTGACGACACGGGGCGGGATGATGCACTGAAAGGCACTTACAAAGGAATTGCTTCTGGGTGGTTGAGGCAGAGGCACGAGCAACCGTGTCAAATCATAGGATGACATGTCATCCTCTCCCTCTCCCACTTCATCCCCTTTCCCCTTCTTATCATCTCCCTGTCTCCTCTCCTCCTGTTTTCTTCTATCGAGGGTACCCTCTTCATGCCTCTCCTCCGCATCCCCCTTCTGTGTGCTTATAACGAGGGCGAGATTCAAGCCATCGCATGGAAGAACATTCGATAGAAGAACGAGGGCCCTGCTGCTGCTGCCTGCTGGGTTGAGTGATAGTGCTTCAATCTGCGCGGTAGCGTTTTGGGGGAGTCACGGTTTGGAGGAGGTGGGGTGGGAGGGAGGGGGTTGTGGTTGGGGGGACGGGGTGGGGAAATAATGAGTGATCAGGTGAGAGGGAACCAGTTTTTACAATGCCTCAAAAGCACATTCAATACAAGAACCAGAGCCCTGGAGCTGCGATTAATGGATGGTTATATTGGTTCATTCTGATATGATTGGACAGGGGAAGAGAGAGTTAGGGAGGGAAGGGGCGCGTTAGGGGCAGGTGAGGAGGGGAAGATGGGAAGTGGAACTTTGCATGAAGGTAGAATGCTCTGAATGAGACAAGAATTTCTATACCTCTACCCCAAAACCCAACAAGCAAAGCATGTCAACTCACAGGCAGGTTGATGTGGAAGGAGAGTGATTCAAAGGAGAGTGAGTGTGTGAAGCCCATTTGTGCACGAATGGGGCTGAATTCAGCTGCACTGCTGTATATGCTTGTCACCACAAGAATTCGCATACCTGTACCCCGAACAAGCATGTCAGCTCACAGGCAGGTTGATGTGGAAGGAGATTGATTGCTGGGCGTGGGAGGCCCATTTGTGCACGAATGGGGCTGCATTAAGCTGCACTGTTGTGTGCCCGTAACTCCGTTGCCCTTGCTTCTGCGGATTCTGCTGCTTCTGCGGTTGCTGCTGTTGCTCCTGCTGCTGTTGCTGCTGCTGCTGATTCTGTTCTTCTGACTGTTGTGAGTTAGGTTTATTTGGTAAAGCTCCAGCAGTTGGCGATCCCAGCAGCAAGGGCCGGAGGAGGAGGAGAGGTGGGGCGGACAGGTGGCAGGAGAAGATTGCACGACGCGTGTTGGGGGAGGAGACTGGCTGGGTTGTGTGTGGGTTGACCAGGGCTAGGAGCGCATGGGACATCTGAGGTGAAATAGGGGAGGAAAAAAGGGGGGAGGAAGAGTGGGAAGAGCGGTAAGAGTGGGAAATTGGATGGCGCTGAGATGGGTGGAGATGTGTGCAGGCTGACCGGGATTAGAAGGGCATGGGATGGGAGAGCTGATTTTTGAGGTGCCTCAAAAGTGGCGCTCTAGAGACGGGAACACGACAGAAAAGGATTGGGAAAGGGATTGGGTTGAAGAGAGTCGAGATGGGAAACTACAAGGGCTGTTGATGTGTGTGTGACATACCCGCACCCACTCTCACCGATATTCACCCACCTGAGCCACGGGCTGGCTGCACCATACGGCCTGCTCGTGCCCTGCTGAGAGCCACACGTGGGGGGCTGTGCTGAATGGGCGGTGCCAGTAGCACAGAACGAACTAGCATTGATGCCACATATCACCACAAACCACTGCATACTATCACATACCACCATCTGTCACCGTATACCACTGCTCACCTGAGCCACAGGCTGGTTGCACCACATGGCCTGCTCATGCCCTGTTGAGAGCCACACGTGAGGGGCTGTGCTGAATGGGAGGTGCAGGGAGATGGTGATGGTATCTGGGGACGGGGGAACTGCTGCTGCCCATGAGCGCACCTGGAGGGACGGGGGAGGAGGGTGAAAGGAAAGGGGGAAGGGGGAGGATGAAAGGGGAATAAGAGCAGAGTTGAGGGGATGTGGTGAATGGGAGGTGCAGGGAGGTGGTATCTGGGGACGGGGGTACTGCTGCCGCCCATGAACAGACCTGGAAGAAGATGAAGAGGAGCGGAAGGACAGTGGGTGAGTGGTGGCGTGAAGTAACGAGAGAGCGTGAAAGAAACAATGGACGAGAGGGAGCAGGCAGGGGTGGTGGAACTATCACAAGAGATAGTATGGGATTTGAGGGGATGTGAGGGGGTGTGAGGGGATGTGAGGGGATGTGAGGGGATGTGAGGGGATGTGAGGGGGTGCGAGGGGATGTGAGGGGATGTGAGGGGATGTGAGGGGGTGTGAGGGGGTGTGAGGGGATGTGAGGGGATGTGAGGGGGTGTGAGGGGATGTGCTGAATGTGAAGTGCAGAAGGTAGTATCTGGGGATGGCGCCACTGCTGCGACCCATGAGCGGACCTGGAGGGAAGGGGGAAGAGGAGGGTGGTGGAAGGGGGAGAGGGGGAGGACAAAGGGGAAATAAGAGAGGAAATGGAGGGTGGGTGGGGGGAGGAATGGGGGGCGGAAGGGGAGAGGGGGAGGACAAAGGGGAAATAAGAGAGGAAATGGAGGGTGGGTGGGGGGAGGAATGGGGGGGCAGAGTAAAGTAACAAAAGAGTGTGAAAAAATCAAGGAAGGAGAGAGGCGACTGCAGAGGAAAAGAGAGGGAGAGAGCTGATTAATGCAAAGGACCATTTGGGAGAGCGTTGGGTGCATATGTGTCTCTTATATCTGCACATCTGATTTTTGAGACGTCTCAAAACAGCATTTGGTGCATATGTGTCTCAGATCTGCACATCTGGCATACGTGGGATGGCAAGGCAACCAGTAATAAGCTGACATGTGGCGCCAAGCCAATCTCTCACCTGCCAGTCACTTTGGCCAGCAGCAAGCGAGGAGAGGAGTAGTGAGGCTGAACTAGAATGGGGGGCTGGGTGTGGTTGCAAGGGGCGGAAGGTGGCTGGGCTGTGTTGGAAAGGTTTTTGGCTGAGGGAGTGGTAGAGTGAAAGCATGGATGGCTGAAGGGGAAGAGGGAAGAGGCTGGGGGAAACGGGGAGAAAAAGGAGGAACAGAAAAATGTGAGGAAAAAAGTCAAAGGTCACCAAAAGTGGTGGTTGAGTTGAGGCTGTGGTGAAGCGGAGCTGCTCTCATTTCAGTTGGGTTGAAAATTAGGCGGATGGGTCAGTGAAATGCAACAGGCAAGACTAACCTTTGGTGGGGAGAAGGCGCTTGGTAGAATGCAGTAATGAATGCAAGCCTATGCTGCTGATTCACTTCTGAAAAACTATCAAAAGTGATTCGGATGGAGGAGCTAAAATGCAGCACTTAGTGCTAGAACATCGCCTCTGGTGGTGAGTTAAAACCTGCCTGTGAGGTGTGGCAATGGTGACAATGGTATGCACTGGATTATGTCTCTTTCCCTTCTGATGGGCAGTGGTGCGTTTCCCCCTCTCTTGCTCCCGCTTACCCCCTCCTCGTGCCTCCCCCTTCCACGCACACTCCTTCACCTCTCCCTCCCTCTCCCTATTCCCTCCGTCTCTCACATCTGGTCCCCCTTGCAGTCTTTGGTGGGCCAGGCGGGCAACTATCCCCCCCATAGAGTGACCCACTAATAGCACAGAGGACGGGCGGGCGGGCATGGAAGCACAGGAGGAACTGTAGAAGGAGAGGATTTGAGGGAGTGGAAGGAGGGAGGTGGAGAGGGGTGGGGGTGAGGCGGAAAGGGGCAGTATAAGTTATGCAGAGGTAGAATAGATTCCTTACAGTGCAGTGCTAGAAATGAAGAGTAAAGTACATTGTGTTATAGAGTACATGAAGATTCAAGGTTTAGGGTTTAGATTCCCACACCACATTGTGCCCCACTAGCACCACAGCGAATGGCAAAATACGAGTCTGCAGAACACAGGGGAATGAGAATGAGCTGAGATAGAGCTAATATGTACACCGACACACACACGCACACTAGCGCGCATGTACACGTGTCCACATGCACACATGTACAGGCCCACCCGTGCACATGCATACCCACCCACCCACATAAATCCCTCAGCACTCACCTGAGTGACAGCAGCAGCAACAAAGGCCGTCTGTTTGAGCAGCAGAGCTATCAAGAGCAGTCAGGTGCTCCCTCAAATTCACAGGCACAGGCCCACCCGTGCATTTGCATACCCACCCACATGCAATGCGGCACCCACCTGGGTGACAGCAGCAGCTACGAATGCCGCCTGTTTGAGCAGCAGAGCGCTGTCAAGCAGTCAGGTGATTCCTTAGATCTACGAGAGCCATGCCAGAGGAGCTGCGTATGCCATATATTTCACATGCACAAACGTACCCACCTGAGTGACAGCAGCAGCAACGAAGGCTGACTGTTTGAGCAGCAAAGAGCTGTCAAGAGCAGTCAGTGTTAATGTTAGTGTTGAGAGAGTAGGCAAAGTGAGGTGCCATAGCTAGGGTTTAGCTAGCTAGACAAGAGAGAAATGAAGAAAGGAGGAGTTTCACTAGTAGCAGTTGGGATACATATAGCAAACCCTAACAGGGTTGTACTCGCTATAGAGCACCCCACTACAGGCTAGATAATAACATTCTGACACACCCCCATAGCCAAAGTGGGGTGTAATCAGCAGAGCACACAGTCATAGAGCAGGTGCACAATTGCAAGCAAAGCTAGAGGCTATCCCAGAGGGCAAGTGAGGAGGAGGAGGAACTGTGGAAGGAGAGAAGATGGGAGGCAGCGACTGAAGCTGCAGAGGCACGGGCACAAGAGCGGCTGACTCAGTGGCTACCGAAGCAAGGGCGACGGACTACTGGAGTGACTGGCTCCGCGGCTATAGACGAGCGGCAGGTTCAACGGACCCACTGCCGACTGGTGCAACAGGCTCACTGGCTACCGAAGCAAGGGCTATGGACTACAGGCGCTGCAGGCGACACGATCGCTACCTCCACACAACCTCCTCCAACTGACCCACACCCTTGACACACACCCCCTGCTGAACCCCTAACTCCACTCCCATGTCACCCCCCTAGCACCACTCCTTTGGCTACCACACACCCACCCCCCTGAGCGGCAGCTGCAGCAGCGGGAGATGGAGGAGGAGGAGGAGTAGTGGAATGGCGCACAGAAACTGCACCCCCATACCCCCCACCCCCAAACCCTAATTCAGGAGAACGGGCAGCAGCAAGGGTGGGGCACCGTCAGAAGCACGGGGGACAGCGAGCAGCTCAGGGACAGAGAGGAACGGGCCGCCCACGGGCCTGGCACAGCCCGACGAACCGCGCGCAGGCGGCCCGAGCCGCGCGCGGACCTGGCGCAGCCCGTACGGGCCGCGCGCGGTCCTGGCGCAACCCGTACGGGCCGCGCTCGGGGCTAGCGCAGCCCGCGATGGCCAGGACGGGCAACGGGGGACGACGGGCTGGTCCCCGTCGCCCGTCGAAGTGCCCCCCGGGGGCGACGCGCGGACCGACGGGGCAGAAGGCCACCGCGCGCCTCGGGGCGCACGGCGGGCAGAGAACCGCCGCACGCCCCGGGGCGCACGGCGGGCAGAAAACCGCCGCGCGCCTCAGGGCGCACGGCGGGCAGAAAACCGCCGCACGCTCCGAGCGTGCGGCGGGAAGAGAGATCCGTTGCACGCCACGGAGCGTGCAACACACAGAGTAGCAGCGGAAGCAGTTAGGTGGGCCCACAGGCCAGGAGCGTAGATGCTCTGATAGCATGTTGAGAGAGTAGGCAAAGTGAGGTGCCATAGCTAGGGTTTAGCTAGCTAGGCAAGAGAGAAATGAAGAAAGGAGGAGTTTCACTAGCAGCAGTTGGGATACATATAGCAAACCCTAACAGGGTTGTACTCGCTATAGAGCACCCCACTACAGGCTAGATAATAACATTCTGACAGTTAGCCCTCAATCTCACATTTGCACTTGCACTTTTTATATCCTAGTTTAGTGTAGTTTGCACTTTGTGTTTGGTTGGATGTACACCCACATCCCAACCAAACCCAAATGTGATCTCCAAGCAATCTCCAACCCACCAATTGGAGGCTGCCATGGGATTACCCCCAACTCCCTAGGATTGTCCCCAATTCTCTCCCCACCCTTACCTTGCCCATTTTTTATGTACTTAAAGAGCCTTCAGCTCATTACTAATGCATGGATTCTAAGCTCAATTTCTAACATGGTATCAGAGCTCTTCAACCACACATGCGGATCTTGGTCCTTTTACCTTTCCAGAATCCTCCCCCACACCCTTAGGCGAAGCCGCCTTCAACATTCATCGCTCGTCGTAAAGCACCTACATCGACCTAATCTTCTTCCCAGCCAGAATACTTCCCGCGCCGCCTTTATCGCCGTTGATTCGCGACATTTTCTGTGGGTAGATTCTCTCCCACACTACCTTTCCTTCGGTTACGAGGCACCGATTTATGCATCTCGCTTAAGGTAACCGTAGCTACCATTTCCTCGTCGCTCTCCCTCATCACCGCGGATTTGTCCCGCCGCCCTTCCCGCTTCGGCGTAACCAATTATTTCCCATCTCGTCAATCGTCAGGCTGCCGCCCGTCGCCCTACAGCTTCCCTTCGGGCTGACGCCCGTCGCCCTGCATCTTCTCTTCGGGCTGCCGCCCGTCGCCCAGCAGCGTCACCTTCGGGCTGCCGCCCGTCGCCCCGCAACGGCACTTCCATCACCCCGTAGCTGAACAGGTGAAGCTGCGCAGCTGAGCAACCGTGTAACAGTGAAGCTGAGCAGCATTGTAGCCGCAAAGTTGAGGGTGGTGTGAGGAGGGGGGGGGTGTGGGAATAGGGTTAGTAGTTAGTTGACACTACCAAAATCGGTCGTTTCAACCTATTTTCGTCGGCCTTAAACCTTCTATGAGACATCCTATCGCAGCCAACATTGACGTTCTTCGCTCTTCGGGACCTTCGGATTTCGAAATCGCTAAACCTCTCCTCAAAATTCTCCTTCATAAACCCTACTTTGCAATTCTCCTTCGTAACCCCTAAACCCAAAGTGTTTATGGGTGACTTAAGAGAGACATTTTGCGCGAGAAAGAGGCTCTTCACCATGGCTTTTGCCTCGGCAACTATCAACTTGTTAATCCCTGGCACCGCCATGATCAATGAAGCAATCTCGCAGCATATCGGCTCACCGCAGGCACCACAGTACATAGAGTATACACTCGACACCGGGGCCACCCACACAGTGCTCAAGGAGACACTCTCCTTCAAACCCTATTCAACACCCATTCCTCTCTTGGGAGCTGACTTAAGCTTCACCACCTTTGCCAAGGGTTCGTCCACTGTCCCATGCCCCGCCTTCCCATCCAGCACTGTCACTGGCATGTGCGTGCCTTCATTACGCCACAATTTTGTGGCTCAAACAGAAATTCAGGAGGCGGGGTTATGCACCATCTTTTCGGAGAACAAGGACTACTGTGACATCATCGATCCACTCACCAACAAGGTCTTGGCTCGCTTCACCCTCAATAGCAGCGGCCTTTACACGCTGCGGGTACTTATCCCACGGGTGTCAACCACCCAAGCACAGGCTGCTATCACACCATGCTCATGTCGCAGCTTCTCCAACCCGACCATCCTCTACCACCATCGGCTCGGGCCCCCCAACTTCCGCACGCTTGCTAACATGGCCTCCAAGAAGCTTCTTCTCGCCCTACCAACCTCACTTCCTCCACCACCTGACTCTCCCGCTC